GTGCAGCTATTTCATACCTTCTACATTGCATGTCTAGTTTCACATTTTTTCTGTTTGTGCTAATCTGTCTTCAGTACAGTAGTTCAGTCACCTGTTTTTAGATTTATTAATATTTTGGGTGGTCTGAAAGCTAAATTGTTTGCCTGTCATACCTTCCCTGAAGTCTCTGAGTCAGCCAACCCTGCCTCTGCAAGCTCAGGGAGACAAAGGAAGGTGTACTGCACACTGAGTCAGAGGGGCAGGAAGCACACAGATGATTTACACAACTGAAGTTAGTTGTAGCGCCAGAGAATAGTAAAGCACTTCTACTCAGAATTCTAGTATCGACTTTGCTCCATAAACAGGTCATATGTCTCCTCATTCATTAAAGATGTACTCCACACTAAAATGTGTTTTTTGAGCTGTAAACTAAATTATGTGACTATACTGTGATGAAATGCATCAATGCTGTTGTTAATATCGGCATACTTACCAAAGTTATGAAAATCTGACTTTTGTTGGTTGAAAATGGCTCAACACGCCTTCTATTGTTTTTCACCCTAAACCTTGCAAGGCCAATCCTGACATAGTGTTAACCGTTTGGGTCTACGTCATGACATATATTTAAAAAAAGAGTGTTAACTTTAATCGGAGGAGGGAGGCCCACATCCCTTCCCCCAACCCCCGCTTTGAGTGGGAGACTAATTCTCAAATGTTTACTGAATGAGACACATCATTCTCAAGAGTTCATACTCGTTTTTGCTAACCCTCTACTTAGCATTTCTGTTTTGCGCAATGGTTCGGACTTGTGTTTTAGACAGCTGTAGAAGCACCACCAGACTGCAGTCTTTACCTTGATCCCACTGACTGCCAGTTTACACACACACACACACACACACACACACACACACACACAGACACACACAGACACACAGACAGACAGACAGACAGGAGAGTTAGCCTCTCTGAGCCGTTAGCTTAGCTACAACTCAGCCACTAGAATAGCTACATACAGCCCTGAATGTGCTTTTGGTAACTGTAAAGGCTCCAGTGCAGACACGGAAAGTCTGACAGCAGCTGCTCAAACTCTGACTACAAGTTTGCTGATTCTGTTAGACTGCTGTGGCCAGTCTGTCCGTCACTCCGGTTGGTGTCGAAGGCCACACTCCCTAGAGTCACTGTCCTTCGCAGGTCTCTGATGCATTTTTTAAAAATTTGCTGAGATGGAGGGCACTAGCAGAATTAAGGGGTGTACTTAGACTGTAACAAGCCATGCTAGCAGATGTGTGAGCCTGTACTTTTCCACAGCAGTGCTTTGTGCTAAATGCTCACAGCAGAAAGCTAACTTGCTCACAGGGACAATGCCAGCATGCTGTTGTTTCACAGGTATGATGTTTATCTCTAATTAGTTTGGAGTACAGCTGAGGCCGAAAGGAATGTCGTTAGTGTTGCATGTATTTGGTAAAAAGCCAAACTAATAAACAAACAAAAAATTGGCCCGATGATGTTACTAGATGAAAGGTCAGGGGATCGGAAGTATTACAGTTTATCTCCTGGGAAGTTCAGGTTGCAGTATTAGGAAGGAATTTCTAGTCTGAAGTGGTGGGCTGATATTGTCACCTCAGCTGTTCCTATAGTCAACATTAATAGAATTGGTTTGGATTGTTGAAAAATATTCAGTCCACAAATGAGAATAAAAAGGGAAATATCACTAACTGCAAAGAATTATTTAGGTAGTGTCTGAATTATGTTAGTGATATCCAAATAAACTACCATTTACTGTACTCTTGGAGTTCATTACCATCTCTAGCTTGATTCCTGTCAGCTCTCAAGTTTCCACTACTGAAGAGGCAGAAATGGCCCAAAACATGAGACGTTTGCTTAATTATTATACTATTATTGTTACTGTATACTTTATTTGATTTAGTTAATTAGAAGTATAACTTTATATACAGTAATTAATGCGATTGCTTTGTCATAATTTCTAATCTGTGGGGAGTAAAAGAAGATAATGTTGGTGTGTGTGTGTGTGTGTGTGTGTGTGTGTGTGTGTGTGTGTGTGTGTGTGTGTGTGTGTGTGTGTGTGTGTGTGTGTGTGTGTGTGTGTGTGTGTGTGTGTGTGTGTGTGTGTGTGTGTGTGTGTGTGTGTGTGTGTGTGTGTGTGTGTGTGTGTGTGTGTGTGTCCCAAATATTGGTTTTTTTTGTCTTTTTTTTCTGGTTCAAAGATGTTTGCGCATTTATGAGAAAAGTACTTTTAAGTATTACTGTTCAGTAATACCAAACAGAGTAGACCTCATGTCAAATGCCCAGCAGTTTTTTTCAGACTTCATATACATTACTTAGTGATTGATGCCTGCAAAAGCAACAGACCATGGCTCACTCTCTGATTGCCTGTTTACAGGGCTCTGACACTTTTATAGCCCTCCTAATACCATTACAAAGTATTGCTTCAACAGAGGGGCTCTCGCCTTTCCTGTAGAATTAGATACAAAAGGCCGTTTGCTGTGATCACTTGAGGCAGCACAGTTGTGAAAATGAGCTTTTGTTGAGGCTGCATGAGGACTTATCGACATTTAACATGGACAATTGTCAGTGGTGGTCTTGAAGTTTTCATTTAATTGCCAAAAAACACTGATAAACATGGATCTCAAAGTTGAGATGTAAAAATATGTACAGTAATGCCTAAAAACCCTTACTGCCCTTACTGTATAAGGGTTATAGAAATAAAAATGAAATGGTAAAAAGCTCACAATACAGGAATGATCATATATTTGCTCTGATGGTCATCTTGCCGGCTGGGTAGTGTAATCGAACATTGGTGATCTGTTGCAAATAGGGCTGCGACCAATGATGATTATATGTCAATTATTGTTTTCTCTTTTTAGTTTTTTGATTATCTTTTCCATATTTTTTTTCTATAAAAAGTCAGACAACAGAAACTAGCTGTTTACTATTTTAGAAATAAAAAGCAACAAATTCTCACATTTGAGAAATTTGAACTAGCAAATGTTTCAGTTGCTGATTAAAGTCATTGACTAATAGTTTAATCTTTTATTGCAAAGTTGGTCATTACGAGTCCATAGATGAATTTAATACTGTGGAGGAAAAGACAGACAAAAGAACGAGTGAAGCAAATTGATAACATTATCACAGAGCACAACTGCTAGCAGCACAGTGACCTCAAAGGAGAATAGGGAATGATGGATGTGGCAGATTGGAAAACGCTCATCTTACAATTGGAAAAAAGAAACTATAATATTGTCGGATCAACGTGGTTACCCCTTCTGTGTGGGCACAGTGCAAATGTATATGCCACACCATAGTATGCTATACTGAGCAAGTGAAAAGGATAGACATGTGTCAGAATAATGGGGAAATATCAACTGGCCACATAAATCAATTAATTACTGGAAATGCTCTTAAATACATTTGTGGACTTGTATGTTTGAATCAATTTTTAATCAGCATCTGCAGTCTAAGATTATAGCCTAGTCAGGACTACAGCCACACTTGCAGCTCTACCAGGCTGTAATTTGTTATTTGCTTTGAGCTAAATGCTTATGTCAGCATACTAACATGCTCACTGTGACAGTGATGACATGCTGATGTTTAGCAGGTATAATGTTTACCATGTTCACTATCTTAGTTTAGAGTGTCAGCAGACATTTGCTTATTATAAATTTAGCACTGCTAAACACTAATTGCAAGTGAGGCTGGTTGGAATGTCGTTAGATTTGCATGTTTTGGACAGACTGACACTTTGACCTAATGATTGCGCTAAATGAAAAGGTAAAGAATTAAGTTATTACAATTCATCCTGTAGAATATTGTACTACAATGATGTGGCAATCCATCCAAAAGGTGTGGACTTTTCACAAAAGATTACAAATGTGAGCATCATGGTGGCGCTAGAGGAAAAATCAGAGCAGTCATTTGGTTTTCCGGGGAACCATGAATGTCTGTACAGAATTGTTTGTCAATCCATCCTGTAGATGTTGAGATGTTTCACTGGATAAATAAATTCTTTGACCTGTTGGTGGCGGTAGATGGAAAGTGATCATCAAAGTCATTAGGATTCATCCTTTAGTCGCCCTGCATATCTGAATCTAATTTCATGGCAATTCCATTTTCAATATTTGAAGAGAAATGTCACTGAGAAGAAATAATGTTAACCTGCTGGTGGCTAGAAGGATGGCCAGGATCACCAAAGTCTGTAGGTGAAAAAAAAAAGTACAGTCAGTTGCTAGGACAACATTTCCTTTTGCTCCCGCACAGTAAAAGTATTCAGTTTGCATTATCAATAGCTTCACACAGCAAGGGGTGTTACTACAGCTCTGATGGAACAGCAAAAAGAGGGATCAGAAAACAGTAAGGTTCAAAAAAATCCAAATCACAACAACCCAACCTTTTACAAAACTACTGAAAGCGAAATGTAATGAGTCATTTCAAAATGACACTTCTCTCTAGTTGCCCGCATGGCCAGAAATGTTGAGTCAGTCATTTTGCTGTGACAGCTCAGTTGCAGACAGGGACCTTCTGGGCTCAGTTCTGCTGCCTACCAGAACCATATTGTTGTTGGATCAGTATGGTTACCCCTGCTGTGAGAGCACAGTGGAAATGCCACACCATAGTGCTATAGTGTGCTATACTGAGCAAGTGAAAAGGATAGAAATGTGTCCCGTTACCCCTGATTAAGATTCTATGGATTTGTTTTCATCTGTTTGATATTTTTTGGGATTTGTAAGCATCTACTATATGTATTGTACAGCGTACAAGTTACTTGCAGTATATTACATGATTTGTTGGTATTGAAATCCTTAAAGATGATTTTTTTAGGTTAGTTATTGTGTTCTGGTTGGCCACCTTCTTTGCATTATTGCCAGTGGTGTGTGTAAAGCCAAATCAATCTAATGTCCTGATTTTTGCGTTGTTCCACATGTCTTCATGTTTTTAATTTTCTAGAAACAAATCTAGTAAATCCTTATGTTCTCCTCAAAAGTGTTCTTGATTTTATTTCTTAGCTGCTGCCGTCATTGCTGAAGGCCCAGGCCAGTAATGGGCAGCTGGGACACCATGTGTTTGAACAGCCCCCAGATCCTCTACATACATCTCCGATCAACACCCAGCAGGTAATGGCATCTGATCTGTCTTCAACCTGATTTTTGAGACTTTTATTAACCTCTAATTTGCATTCTTGGTAACACTTTTGTCCAGTGCCAGAAGTTTCAGATCAATGCAGTAATTCTTGTTTGTGTTTTCCTCTGTTCTATGACACGAACAACAGGAACAACTACTGCTCTTAGTGTAACTAAATGGAAAGTCTAATTAAAAGAAAATAGGCACAAGAAAATCACTCAATGGGAATGATTAGCAGTGTATTCTTCTTGTTTATCTCTTTATGGGTGTTTTTTTATATATATTTACAACTCTCCTGTAGTAGAAATATACTGCTGTGTATATATTTGCTTAATTTTGCATATTGCTTCGAGGATACAGATTCTAGAGTTTCTACACTGTTACTCAGAGTCTGAGTAACAAGCATTAACCAGTGAATGTACTTTTTGCCTACTTTGATATATCCAGTATGCTTACAGTTTTTTTGTGCAGGTACAAGACCTAAATTAAACATTAAATTAAAACACTTTTTCTTTCACTAGAATTATAGTTTTTGGAGGCTTCAGTAGAAGTATCTTAAAGTTTACTATTCATAAAACTGCTCTTCATGAAAGTATTCCCTCTCAAACTCACATATCTTGGGCTGTGAGTTTGTGGGATTAAGAGGTAAGGTGACATGGGGGAGAAAACCCAGTCAGGATTTATTTGCCTTCGAGCCATAAAATGGATGTGAAACCTGCTGTAGCCACTTGGAAGTTGTTGTCAGCGAGGCTGACTCAGCTGGACTCGCAGTACTCAAAAGTTTGATGTAAATTGGAACTTAAATCAAACAGAAGTGCATTTTTCTCTGAATTGGAATTTAATATTATTATAATTCTTAAAAATAACAAGATATAGAACATGAATGATCTTAAATTATGAAAGTGGGTCATTATAACTGCAAATACTGCATGGAGTTCGAAAACTAAATAATACCAGAATAATGGAGAATATGTGGGGTTTTGAACAATCTGAGCAGCAGAGTTTAGCAAAATTATAAGGATGAAAAGCTGGATGTATATTAATCCATATGCAAAATAAAAGCAGGAACTATGATGAGACAAAGCAAAGACAGATGCTAATTTAACTCCGTAATATGAGCACCAAAAAGTCGACATAGAAGGAAATAAATGAAAAATATATAGAATGTATTTTTTTTGTATAATATTTCCTTTTGTATAATATATACATCCTCATTTTACATATGAAGGAATTATACATACATACATATTACAGAAGGCAATGCCGACAGTATTCGTATACATTCAGGAAGTGAACAGATTTGGAGGAACCATATTATTGTTAATATACTTAATATAGTAGGCTGGGTTGCTCTTCTAAAAATACAAAATGGAGGTTTGGGAAAAAATGATAGTGGGCCAGAACTTTTGCTTATTGCTTTGAGGACCTATTGGTTGATTCTAAGATGTAAAAACTTGTGATTTGGACTGCTTGACGTGAGAAAACTGTATAGATGCAGAAAGTGTATCCACAATTTTTTTTTTAGCTTTTTATTAAAAATGTTCCCTTAGGAGTTTCCTTTTCATGCCATCAATCATGTGGAAAGACTCGGAGACTTTTTTTTCCACATGGTAGATATCCGGTTTTGGAAACGCTTCTCTCTTGTGGTTATTATACCCACACACAGTATGGGAGCAACTTGTAAAAAGACATTTTCCCCGCTCAGTTGACTGGTTGTGCATAAATAAACACAAACAAAATCTGTCTGCCCAGAGAATCCTTCACTCTCTGTCAAAGAGTCAAGTCAGTGTGTTTGCATGCAGACGTATGTGCAAAAAGATGGCCGTGAGACTTAATGCAGATCTCATGAGTTGATTGTTGATGTGCTGTATGTAATGTTTGTCCAGTGAAATGTGTTAGCCTATATTATTAATTCTACCAACTTTAGTACTAAAGGTCAGTTTCATCATTTGTAATATACATCCTGACTGACTATGGTTCTGATTCATGTTTAGATGGTCGAACTGCAGGCACGTAGACGTTAGGCATTTACAATGCATTTCAGAATTGTTTCCAAATATTTGTTTGACTCTTTGTCCTTCCACCTTATTGTTTCACTTCTAAGAGGATGCATAAAAGTGCAGATGTTAGATCTGCAACACAAACCTGTGTTTTTGTCCCATGGAAACCATATCAAAGGGAATGAAACACAAGTTAGCTGAATCTTAAAACATAAATAATACATGCAGGAGACAAAACAGGATAATGATTACTTGAATGAGAAACATATTAAGAGATTATTTTACTGTACGTTTGAAAATATTAAAAGTAGAAAGCAGAAATATAAAAAGATGAAAGCAATGACTATTATTAATGTTTTACTACTATGGCCACTTTAACTACTAATAATGATATTGGGATTTGTAAAGAAAAAAAAGTTGAGCAGTAAAAAAGAATGAGAAGAAACAACCATGCATTATTAGACTTTTCAGTATATCATTGGTGAAAATGAAAAACAAACAAAACAGGAACAAAAATGGATAAAACTTTAAAAATGCTGCAGCAAAGGCGTTCTTCCTGTGCACTCTACAAAATCTCTCAACTTACACACAATTATGTTCACTGTAATTAGTGTGAAATGAAATAGTTTTGACATCACTGTAGTAAAGAACGATACTGAGAACAACCATCCTGCAGCAGTCCCTAATTCATTTAAAACAGTGATGCTCATTTAGCAGCCTGCGGGTCACATCTGGCTCCAGCTGAAAACTGCCCACCCGATCAATTCCTCAGCTTTAAGAGCCAGTGCCTCGCGGTCAATTCAATCTGTAGTTTTAGGAACGTCATTTAATTGCAGTTTATATGGTAAGGTTGGATGGCTAAACATTGAATAGCTTGTAATATACTGTACATCTCTACCAGCTCTCGGAACATACTTCTCCAGATTCTTGGCCAAATTCAACGAAGCTAAATGGTCTTTTTGTGTTTACTCTGACCTTAAGCAAGGTCATGAACAAATATTTCTACTTTGGGCCGGGGATGTTTCCACGGCAGTTTAAAGCAGGCTTAAGAGAACCATTTTAACTTGGAATGTGTTTTGTGGACCACCAGTATTCATTGTGAAAAATTTGATGATTTATTAGAACATTTTATCTACTTCCTGGCTTAAGGTCTGTATTCACTCTCCATTAACAATGTGTGACAGTGTTCACATTGGGTTAGACACATCAGTTGAATGTTAAAATTTTAGGGTACTTTGATTAAATCCCTTAATAGAGGTTACATGTCCTTTGCCCCAAATTCTGCAGCTGCTCTCAGTTAAAAATACAAAAGTATTAGATTGGACTATATTTTGATCTGCTAATACACCAATCTAAAGCAGTCTACAACAAAGAAATTTAAAAAGTCTGAGTCATATAAAACATTGTTTGGAGTGATTTAGAGGAAAAATGGTTACTAACATTGAAAACTGTTACATTTCCCCCACATGCCCGGTTAGCTCAGTGGGTAGAGCTGGAGACCCATGTACCGAGGCTGAGTCCTTGCTGCAGCGGCCTTGGGTTCGAATCCGACCTGCGGCCCTGTGCTGCGTGTCATCACCCTCTCTGCTCCCCTTCCTGTCTGTCTTCAGCTGTCACTATCAAATAAAGACAATAAAAAAGCCAAAAAAAATACTTCAAAAAGATACACTGTTATGGTTCTAGCTTCCCAGAACAGTGGACATTGCCATTATTTGTTCATTAAGTCCAGCAATTGTAAGTATAATGTGGAGATTTAATGATGAATTTTAATATTTAATGTATTTATTATTGTGATTTGTATTATGCCAATATAAATAAAAGTTTTTCATACAATCCTTTTGATTGTTTTCTTCACATTCTGTCCCTGATTTCCTAGATTATAGCTGATCATTTTACATTATCGGATTTTTGTTGTTTTGTGTTGTTGTCTGCATTATTAGTCAACAGGTTAAAATCAGTCAGATGGCTTGATGTCGCACATTAATTTGTACCCTGTATCTTAGTCTCGAAATTATTGCCATATAACTACATGTAAAACCCTCTCACGCATTTAATATTTTACCGTAGCGGATTATTTTACAGCCTCTTCAATCGTTAATTATGCAATTAAATAGAAAATTAATTAAACCTCTGAAGCACCGCTTCACTTTTCCAGTGATACAGTGGCACAACTCAGAGTCCGAAGTTTTGGAGTTTTGTTGGCTTCTCTATAAAATCCCACGCAGGAAGAAAAAGTGAGAGAATGTGGTTTTTCATCGCCCTATTACTCCTCAGAATATGTTAATAAAAGTGCTGCAATTTCTTACATTTGGTTTGTATTTAAGTGTTTTTTATAGAATAATTCACAGAAAAAAAACGGTGTACAGCCTTTTTAAAATCACCACTTTAAACAACAAAATACAAAACAATCGGGACCTGGAGACAAAGTTTGGAAATCTAATTAGGTTAAGGGGTTCTTATTTTTAATTTTGTTTTACATATCCATTTTTACATTACCGAAAACTCTTGACTGAATTTGTGTATTTCTTGCATTCACGTTGGTCGTTTTTCCTGCCTTCAGAGCAACACGAATATTGATAAAGAACGAATATTTATATAATTGAGAGATAGAATAAGCCTTGTTCAGACCCAGTTTCTCATCTTTTTGTGCATGAAAAGACATATTTGGGTTGGGTTAGGCCAATACTTAGAAATGAAAACGAATCAAATTTGAATTACAATCGAGAATCGAATAGAATTAGATTTGAAAACCGATGTTTGTTGCTTCATTTGGGCCCAATTAAGGGGGATCGCAAAGTCCAGCCAGACTTTCTGAACCAATTCGTACTTTAAAACAAAAGAAAACCCTTAAAATACCACATAGTGCCGTGACGATAATGAGCATTATCTGTCCACAGCTTTGGTATATTTACAGATTAGAGCAGGTCCATGATGGGTCGACTTAAAATCAATTGATGCTCGGCTGTTTGTCAATAATTGCAGCCTGCTCTGGAGAGGATGATGAGATTATTCAGTTTTTGTTTGGTTTCAGTTTGGGCTCACAGGTTGAACGGGGGAGTCTCGGTTGGTTTTTCAGTAGGATCGGGTTTGTACCCCGTTTATGCAACGGCTACTGTTTTGGTTTACGAGCGAGGTGAGAGAGGTGAGGGGTGTCCTCTCCTGAGCACACCCTGCTCTGTCTGAGCACAGTGACTTTGAACTTGAACTTCGTCCTGCTTATCTTCATAATGTCTGTAATATACTGGTACAAGCCAACC